GTGTGTGTGTGTGTGTGTGTGTGTGTGTGTGTGTGTGTGTGTTGAGTCTGCTTAGGAGCAATCGAACAGTTGCTCTGTAGAGGACAGAGCACTTACACTGTTCTACTTGTTTCTTGAAGGCTGCCAGGTGCTTAGCTATCCAGTCTGGAAAACAATTTTGATGACAACCCTGACTCTCTAACTAGGTCAGTACTACAACACTCTCTCTTTAGCATTTATCAGGGATTCCCATTATGGCTAGTACACCTCATTTTACACATAACTGGGGCAAAATCTCCCGAGCAAACCTGATTGTTTTCTGTATTTGGTTTTTCCTGTATGTGTGGAGAGGATTATTTTTGGTTTGTGTTTTTCTTGAGACAGAGCCTCATGTAGCCCAGAGTGGCTTCAAACTCACTAGACAGGCAAGGATGACTCTCCTTCTGAACCTCCTGTCTCCACTTCCCAAGTGCTGGGTTCACAGGCACACCCCTTCTACAGCTGGCTTGCATTCTGCATTTGCTGCAGTCTCTAGTTTCCTCACTCCTTAGAAAGAGGGTCCTTCACATGGGGGTGGGCCTAGGCGCAATCCCAAAGGACACAATAGACTCTGATGACACCCTATGGAAGGCCTCACCCTCCAGGGGGAGCAGAAAGGATATGTGATAGGTAGGGCTTTAGTTGGGGGGATTTGTAGGGGAGGAGGGGAAGGAGAGGGAACTGGGATTGACATGTAAAACAATCTTGTTTCTAGTTCAAATTAAAAGAAGACAAAAAAAGAAAAAGAAAAGAAAAGAGGGTCTTTATGTGCTGTGAAAGGGTTAAGGTGTGGCTTTAGAACAAGGGCCTGAGCTAGGGGTTGAGGCTCAGCACCAGCACAGCGCACAACGAGCCCTGAGACACATTCCCAGCACCAAAGGAAGAGAAAAGAACAGAGGGCTACAGACTAAACCTTCAAATGTGCAAAGAAAGGCAATTGGGAAGTGAACACTAAGTAAGTACAAGCCCAGGGCTGGAAGTGTGGCTCAGTGGTAGAGCTGGAAGTGTGGCTCAGTGGTAGAGCACTTGCCTAGCAGGTATGCAGCTCTGGGGAAGAGGGAGAGGACGGTGCAGGAAATGTAGGTACACAAGAAAGAGCAGTTCTAGTCCCCATAGTAGCTGTAAGCACTTACAGGGTTTGTGGGTGAGGGATCAAATCATCAGGTGTCAAGAGATGGACTAACTTTAGAGGAGATGTGGCCAAGGGCTTCACCTGGCTAGAAAACGTGACTTCAGCATAGAGCCACGATGAGCAGGGAGCCCTAAGGCAGACCTCAGGCACAGACTTAGAAAGGTGGAGGCAGCATTTGGATGTGGAGAGGAATGCAAATCTCTGTCCAGGTCTTGTCTGCCTTTGAGTACCTGGGGCACATGGAAATCTGATGGATTAGTCCACAAGATTCAAAGAGGGCAGCTGGTTAGTGGCACCTGCATGATTAAGGTTTTTCTCTATAAAAAACCTTCTCCCCATTGCTTACGAACCCTTGAAGACTCCGCTTAAGGATAAATGTCCACAGACAGAGTTCTTGCCCAGGGGCCAACTCTGTAGCCACAGAACAGCCACAAGGAGGTCAGGCAGTGCCCATTTTCTTCTGGTTCCTTGGGAGATGACTGAGTATGCTTGTGGCTTCTTAGAATATAGACTACACTTCTCAACTTCCCTCACTGTCACACAGGAAGTGGCAGCAGTGTTGCCTAGCAACAAGCAGCAAAGCACACTGGGCAGCTAACGAGCCCCACCTCTTTCCCACTTGCATAGTGTAGGCTATGCAAGCGGGAACCCCAGGTTAATCCACGTCTCTGCCATAGTTATCAAGATGGACACCAGGGGCTCTGGCACGGCAGAGCAGTCATGCCTGGAGACTGGACCTCTGGAGTCCCATGCCTCACACAAGAATATCCCCTTGGGGCCCCTTTTCTCTTTCATTAAACAAAGCTGCATTTCTCTCTCCTGCAGCTAACTACCACCCCAATTCCAGCCAGATAGCTCTGGGAGGGTTTTCGTATGTGGGTGAGGCTGTAGCTCAATGGTAGAGCACTTGCCTAAAATGTACAAATGTACAAAGCCCTGGGATTCAGCCTCTGACACCACAGACACACACACACACACACACACACACACACACACTGCACTCACACACACACACACACTACAG